AATAAATTATTCAAAGATTCTGAAGCAGACTCTCCTCTTTCGATGATAGAGAATGGAGTATGACTGATGCACTAGGTGGTCTGAGCAATCTTAATTCAGACAACGCTGCTCAGTGTGGTCCATGAGAAGGCTTAAACCATCTGTTGCTGATGTACTGATGAGAGAAGCAGCATATGCAAAGGGCAACTTGACTATATCCTCTAAAGAACACTGGTTGGTTCGGCTATTGTTAGTACACCTCACAGCAAAATATTCTAGTTGAAAAAAGGAGTGTATTGATCCACGTTCTGTCACAAGCTCCTTTTTTTTTTTTTAACAGACAAGAACTTTGAAACACATTACATTAGATTGTGGATGAGGTTGTACAGTGACATTAAAATATACCTTGTTTGAAACAAGATAGAAATGTGATTCTCCTCTAACTATACTAAAGGGAGCATTGTAGGAAACAGATATCTCTGTTCCATACAGTAATCTAGTGCCTTGGGCCGGTAAGTTCTTCTACCTATGGTTTCCACCTCTGAGTACAAGACAAACTCATTCGTCACTTATAGCCATTTTATAGCCAACAATAACTGAAACAGGGAAAACACAGAGACAGTAGCTTTAATCTTAAAAAGAGAGTTCATGTCATTTGTCTCACTTTCAATTGTTTAAGACTTTCTCACCAGAAAGCAGATTCAAGAGAGGCTGTGAAATATAATCTCTAGTTTGGAGACCTGTGTACTGAGAAAAACAAGGATTGCTGCATCATTAAATAAAAATACAAACTACAAAAGATGAAAGCTTAGTTTTCTTTGCCACTGTGAAAAACATGGCTAGAGAGTTAAGCTAAGCCTAGACTGTGGAGGGTAGAAGATTTAATAATGAAGGGAAATATTGTAAGAAATAGATGATAGTCAATGTAAAATGGAATGTCTGTTCATGTTACATTTTAAAAGAAGGAATTTTGACTTTAACAGCTTGCATTTCACTCCATTTTTGGAATTTTCTATGGATGAATTTATTGGAAATCCAAGAATTATAGCTTAAACTTTTCCAAAGTAAATTATCGCATACTTCAATTGTCTTTACAAATTATTGGTCTTTAGCCAAAAATGTGACATCTATGTATCATTTCTCCTCCCAAGGCTCAGAAGTAATGGAGCAAAATAGGGAAGAAAGTTTGCAAGAGTGAGAGGTAGTGGGTGACTACCACCAAACTGTTCTCAGGATACAATAAACAACTGCAATGAGTTCACAGTGTTTATGAGAGTGCTTATGTACTTACCCCTTAACAGAGTACTTATGTACAAGACCTGTTCAAGATCATGCTGGACAAAATCCTAGCATGGATGGGGGTAGGTAGTAATGCATTCTCACCATGGCTGAGGAGCTACTGCAACTGATGACTGCTAAAGGAGAGAATGAGTCTTTTTCAGGGATCCAGGCTATGAGAGGGTACATATGCCCCAGTAGACGGTCCTGGACCCAGGCACATACAGGCAGCACTAATTGAACTCAGTGGATTTTAAAAACAGAGCACATGAAGTTGGGAGAGAAAAGTGGTGATGAGGAATTATAGGGTGGGACATGGGAGTGAATATGAATATATGAAATCCTTAAACAATAAAAAAGAGAAAAAATGCATATTTATGCTTCTTGGTAGTATCAATAGGAGGTGAGGAAGTAAAGTACATTTAGATAGTGTGTGTCTTCAAACTGTATGAGGTATGAATGGCACCTGCCATAAATAGTATTCTTTAGAAGGATTTACAGAGGAAACATTTTGGGGGAAATCCATTAGCGAAATAATGGACAAAGCAAAAGGAAAGCTCTGACTGAAAATGTGATCTCAACAAAGTCTAGCCCTGCCTTGCCCTGCGTGGAAGACTACTCACACAGACCACTGTGCCTCCTGAGAGGAGTGAGTCCCCTTGTACCCACATATCAGGCACTGGATATGGGCTACGTGTGGAGATGAGGAGGGAGATGCATAGTGTGCCCTGCCGGTCAGCCTGCACTCATCATCCAGCCAAGGACAATTTTCAATCTGTTTCACCCTCCCCACCCCAAACAACATTTACAGCTGAAGGTCTGGGAAGGCCTGTTACTTGCAGAAGTAGTATGAAGCAGAACAGTTGGTATTTCCAGTGGACAGAAAAGCATCCTCCACAGGAAATACCACGTGTCCATTCACTTTCACTTGTTTCTAAAAGTGGGCAGTTTTCACAAGATTTCTAAGAATACAGTTCCTAAGGAAACCTAAGAGATGCTTGTTATGAAGATCTGTAACCCAGTTGCTACACTTGGTGCCAAAGCTGTAGTCAATACACCCTCCTCCCTACGTGTATTCTGGATTTCCTCACTTTGGGCTTACTCTTTCATTACTAGAAACCTTACCTGGTGCCTCCAGCACTGTCTCAGGACCAGATGCCATAGCGATAGCTATGTTCTGCTCCACTGACTCTCCTTTTTTGAAATTTCTCCAGGCATTCTGTTAGAAGAAGATGGTGCCAGAGCAAAGATAGTTTAATCTGTGAGGCAAAACACTAGATTGAGTTTGCTATGGTTGTAATCCAACATTTCTCAAATCATAATTGTTGTCCTTTGCAATTTATAGTTATGCTGAGTGTGGATCACCCAGTAGCCTAGAAGACAGAGTGCCCCATTCTCAATATACAGTAGCTATCTTACTTTCTTATGATGATTAGCTCAAGCACACCTACAAGTGTAAAGACTTCTGAAAATGTGTTATATTAACCCAAATTCTGCCAATTGAAAGATTTCTCGTAAGTAGTGGTTTTAGGAACCATTTTGGCTAGAACTACGTTGTAGCAAGTGTCTGTTTTAGGCTTCTGCCCACATATGTGTCAACCCATCCACAAACCACACCTGTGCTTCCCCTCTTCACCCGATTATAGAAATACCTATCATGAAAGTACAGAAACGAACACCTTGAGAGGCATCCTTGGAAAAATGCAGGTGACAGAGGAGAATGGGATGCTTGTTTGTCAGAGGCCCTTGGATCTGCTGAGGACCAATCCCTAATGTATAACTTCCATCTTATAAAGAAATGTTGCTGAGCACACCTAGAGTTACGATTTGTGGGACACGAATACCAGTTTCTGATGGGGAAAATAATCATGTCATTCCATTATCGGTTGGAAAAATTACATTCTTCCAGAGCTTGGCCACATAGCAGAAACTGTTTGAATTCTCTGCTTCAAATGACAGACAGCCATAAGCACTTAGTGGGGTGTAACATGCATTGGGTCTCATTTCAGTGGCTTGCCAGACATCATGTGGCAATTGATGCCACAGTGTCAGGAGGCATCTGGGATACACAGCTGAAACCCCTTCTTTGCTCTAGGGCCACATTCAAAGATTTCTATAAATCTTGCTGCCTCCAAACCCCAAAGAAACTGATCAAGCACTCTGCTTTCATTTTAACAGTAAGAGTTGATGAGGTAAAATTCACCTTTGCCGTGGACAGGATATCTCAGAATTCTTCAGAAGTCTACACTTCTTTTTTTTTTTTTTTTTTTTCTGTTTTTTGTTTTTCGAGACAGGGTTTCTCTGTGCAGTTTTGGTGCCTGTCTTGGATCTCACTCTGTAGACCAGACTGGCCTTGAACTCACAGAGATCCGCCTGACTCTGCCTCCCGAGTGCTGGGATTAAAGGCGTATGCCACCACTGCCCGGCCACTTCTAAAACTTACAAGTGTAACAAACTCTTTGAACTTGGCATGCTTGAACTCCATCATGTCTTTATGTTGGTTTGGACTGATTTTGAGTCAGTGTCTTCATTTTCCCAGCTAGTCTTGAACTCATAATCTTTCTAACTCCACTTCTGCCACTGAAGATCACAGGTGTGTATGGCTACCTGAGTTCTCTTCCTCTCAAGTGCATTTTTCTTAGCCAGGCCCCCAGAGTGTCCTCTTGCTTTTTATCTGGTGCAATGAACATTATGCCAATGAGCCTTTGAGATGTTTTGTGAGACCTCTAAATTAAATGAGGAATTAGCTTGAACTATTTTTTAAAAATATGCCAAAATGTTATTTGGAGAAAATATATTTTTACCAAATGAATTATAAATGTTTAAATTTAAACGTATAAAAAGATTTAAAGGTATAGTGACATATATTTGTAATCCCAAGTATTTGGGAGGTCAAAGCAGAAAGAGCACTTGAGCACAAAAGTTTGAGGCCAGCCATGTCACAAACAAATGAATAAATGAATATTTAAAAAAATATTTCCTTGAAATAATATTCTCCATTTTAGCACTTTTACATTTTTATTTTTTTAAATGAAAATTTAAATCAGTGAGATTAAACAAATTAACTAATAAGTGTTGAAATGACATAAAAGGTTTCAGTTTTGCATTCTCTAATTGAAAAATGGAGGTTCATTTGTGTAAACATTTCTTGACAGATCTAGCATCATTAATTGGATAAATGTCTACTCTCTCCTAGAAAAAATGTAATATTGGAAACTATGATTTTTTTTAACCTGTATTTGTCAAAGTGGTAGAAAGAATCATAATTCAAAACAACTCATCTAACAGGTATTACCTTCAGAAACATTTCCCAAAGAAAGTCATCTTGTATTGAAAATAAAGTACCCAGCCTCTAACACATAGATATTTCAATGTTAGAAAAAAAACAGAAAAGAAACTGGGAAACTACAGTCAAGTGAGGCTCAGTCAAGTTAAAACCTCTTTGATGCACAGACATAAAACACAAACTACAGACAGAGCAGAATCTCCTGTTATTATCTGTCACTGATAACACGCACATCATGGCAAGACTGATTTGAGGCTGTGTTCTATGAGGCCTTGGGTAGGGGAACCAGCTAATCACTGCACCAGGAAAGGATTTGAGAATCAAAGAACCAGAATGGGATTTTGATGCCCAGCTCTAGGAGATCAAGCAAGAATCTCATCCTGTCTTACTTGAAATGTTGTTAGGACATAGCAGCCAGGATTCAGTATTCAGTAAGATGTATTATTCTTTCCTGCAGAATCCATGTGATGATAAACGACACAAAGACATCTGGTCTAGGGAGAAAACTTGTGATCATTTACCAAAATTCCTTGTCATTGGGCCTCAGAAAACAGGTAAGCCTAGGCAAGGATGCTTCTGGACTTGCTGTCATTATTAAGTTCTTGTGTCCTAACAGCATTGAATCTTGTTTTGTGACCTATGCAAGTTTATTGCTGAACTGCTGTACCTCCTCATGGGACACCTTTTATCCTACAAGCCTCGAAAAGATCCTGATGTTGCCATTTATTAGACTTGAACTTTAAATGCTTTTGCTATGGAGTTTAAAAAGGTTTCACATATGTATCAAAGTTTTGATATTTTTGAGTTTAAGTGTCACAGTTTCCCTGTTTTTTACTTTTTGTGGCTTTGCCTAATTAATACCTGAGATAAGTTATGAAAAGGTAACTTATGGTTCAGACTCAGACTGTTTTATACTGTACATCAGCATTGCATTGATTTCTGTTCAGAACTATGGTTGTTATTACTCACAAATTATTTTATATGTGTGTTGTTAAAAATAATCATTAAGTACTAACGTGCAGTATAGTTGTTTTCTGCTATGCCCCAGTCTCCCCAGGCTGTTCCCCCTTGGTATTTTCTTGTGCACTGAAGGACAACTGTGTAAGGATGTAGTAAAAGAGAATGAAAGTATTTCACCAATGAGATGACACTTTCAATTAGAATATTTTATACTTTCTTCAGTGTGTGACAGTTTTATATACTTTGCTTATATCCTGATTAATTAAAGTTTTTATTGAGTTGCTGTATCTGGAATTCACTACTTGGACTTGAAGCACCCTCATCAGGGAGAGCCCAAACCATAACACAAAGCAAACAGTCACAATAAATAAGCCGCAATGAAGACATTTGTAATACAAGCAAGTAGATCATTTTAAAGGTTATGGGTAAAATTTCCAGACTATTAGATATTGGTTGTTGAAATCTTTTCTTCCTCTAGGAATATGAATTGTGTTACAACAGCGAATTAACACATGAGCAGGGAGGGTAGACAAGCAACACATACTTTCAGATATATCATGTTTTTGTTGTTTAAAATGTGCATTAATTTCCTGCCAGCTCCCTACAGCACTGCGAACTTGAGAATAAATAGTAAAGAAATAAAACATCCCTGTGTTGTAAAATTTTGTTAAAAATTTAATTTAAAGACAGACCCTCTATCATTTGTCATTGAATATTATTACTGCTTCGTTATGCTAGAAAACCACACGTTATTAACTATAAATCTTTTTCCTCCTTATTGTTTATATTTATAAAACCAATCTGTTATACCTTTAGATTTTAATATGTGGCCTAGTTGTGTGGCAATGATAAAGCTTTTAGCTGTTTTTGTTGTTGTTTCTTCTTTTTTTTAACTTTCTCAAATAAAATAAGAAGTTAAAACACAGGAATTGCACATCTATATTCACATGGCATGGATATATTATTTAATATGAAAATGGTTCTAATAATTTGAAAAATCCAACCATAGATGCCTGTTTTTGATATTAGTAAAACATATCAAAAGATTGCAAATCTCCTGAAGGAAAGTCACAAGTATCCTGTAACTACCCACCTTTGGGCACACTCAAATTTCAGTGACCCCTGATGATGCAGTCACCCCTTATAATAAATATGCAGTAAAAAATTTGGCCTTAAAAATCCCCTCTTTACAGTTGTCGTGAGACTAGAAGAAAGTAAAATCCCATTTTCCTCCTACTGAATCCTAGGTGGGATCCTCTGCTGAGCTCAGGCAGGGAATGACAATGCACCAAGACAGTGGACCCTGGGACTTCAGGCAGCTCATACTATGTCTCTAGCTTCCTCTAGACAGCTCTGCGCCCTCATACTTGGAAGCAACATTACCAGTGTGAAAGAGGATTTCCAATAGTGTCACACTTAGCAGATCATTTGAAGTGCCATTTGTTCAGTATTCATTTCTCATAATGTGCCTGGCTTAGTCTGGCACATTAAAAGTAAAGGTTGTTTGTGTAAAAATAGGTTTTCTTGGTTGTTACTAAGATAAAACCCTTTCCTCCAGTTCCACTAAGTGCACCAAAGGGATTGTACAACAAATGGCTGACAAGAATGATAAAAACAGAAGACAAAAATAAAAACATTTCATGGCAGCAGACATAGAATTCATGGTTGATAAAGAACATCAAGCCATAGCTTTCTTGTTCCTAGTACAGCGCATTTTCTCTGCTACCAGGGGAACAAGAGGACACTTCACATCTTCCGGATACTGTTGGCATGAAGGTGTAGGGCTCAGATCAAAAAGGCAGACCTATCTCGGTACAATTTCACAGCCATTGAATGATTAAAAAATTCTTTATTCTGAGTGAGGTCATAAAGTATCTATTATTGGATATTCAGCAATAACTTTAAAGCATTCATTTATCTGTTCCCTGATCCAACCATGCTCAACCCCTAACACATATTAAGCTATCAATTTTCTCAGTTCTCTTGTAGGTCTTAAAAAAAAATCAAATCTCTTTGCACCCCTTCCCTCTAGTTTTCCTCATCATTATTTAATTTTTTGTAATCTGAAAACACAATTAAGGAACCCCTGGATTTCATGTTCCCTTCAATTTTCCAGTCTGCCTCTAATTCACTTTTCTCTGGAATGTGTGCTTCTTCCTCTCACATTTTCTCCTTTGTGATCTATTGTTTTCAGGAGCAAATCAGATTAATTCTTTGAGACTCCTCTCATAACTTTAATAACTGTATTTTCTACTGTGTTTAAGATGTTTCTTCTGACTGGCATTTAACTTCTTATCAGGTCATGTTCAGTTCTTTACCATTTCGCTCTCACTCTCTTTCTCCACTGATTTATGTTAGTGATTATTTCTTAAATAATAAACACTCAAATGAGTATTAGATTTGCCTAAGGATTTTTTCTCTTTGAAATTCTTTCAAAAACAGTTGTCTTTGATGGAAATAAGAAGTAGTTTTGCCAGGGCCAGCAGATGTAAGATCCTGTGTACCACACCTGCATATCTCTGAAATTATAGTTCTAGACACTCAGCAATGGAGATTCATAGCTCTAAGCTTTCACAGCTGGAAACCAACAACTATAGGTGCTCAGATCTGAGGAAGTTGTGAACATTTAAAGCCAGGAGCCATGTGCTCTGCAGCTGTAGGCCACAGCTTCCAATGTCAGGACCCTCCACATTTGAAGCCCTCTGGAACTTCAGGGCAACAAAGCTCACTGTTTCAGTGATTTGGTTCTTTGTAGCTTTCTCTTCCCAGGTCTTATATCTTCTCTCCAGTTGCTTTCTAATATTTCCACCATTTTTGTAGTTTAAAAAGTGTCTGCTGCCAGACATGGATTGAAACATTTTTGCCACATCCTGGTAGCTGAATAACCGAACAGTGAGCTTTTGAAGTCAGTAGCTCTGAACTGTGTAGCTAGTGTTGTGGTATCTAAGCTTGGAGTTTTAGAAACCACAGTAATAGCCTCTGGAGTCACTACATGGACTCTTTCTAGATGGGGGTGTCTAGAAATGGAAACCCAGAATTCCATCTGTTTTTATTGTTACTATGTCAGTCATCACTAGTCAGCATGAAAACAACTAGACAATGAAAGACAACTAGGGAGCATGGTCACTTGGTATAAAGACCCAGATTCAAGCTTGCTCCCCACTAGGGACTCTCCAGCTACCACCCAATAACAAGTACACCTAGATCCCTGGCAATAGCCTGACTGAGACACTCCAGTTACCCTCTCTGTCTTTGTGACCAACAACCAGTCCACACTGCCTTTGTTGTCTGTGACTTCTTGGTGTGTTTCTCCTATTCAGATTGACATATTCCTTCTAGTATTATCTGTAGAGCAAGCATAGCAGTCACAAATTCCTTTATCTGGTTTTCACTTATTTCTCTTTCAACTTTTTTGTTGTTGTTTTGGTTTTTCAAGACAGAGAGTTTCTCTGTGTAGCTTTGGAGCCTGTCCTGGGACTGGCTCAAACTCATAGAGTTGGCTGGCCTCAAACTCATAGAGATCCACCTGCCTCTGCCTCCCGAGTGCTGGGATTGAAGGCGTGCACCACCACTGCCCAGCTTCCCTTCCAATTTTAATGGATAGCTTTGCTGGGTATGATAGTCTGGATTGATAGTTGTGAGTTTTAGGACTTGTAATATGTCTTTATATGCCTTCTGGCTTTAAAGGTTTATGTCAAATTATCAAATATTCAGGAAGGCACTATGTTCAGGAAGGTACTGCTCCATAGCAGGGTTAGGTATTGATTTCTTCTGTTTGTCTGGCATTTGAAGTTACAGCCTCTGTCCTATGTCTTCTGTTTACAAAATACAGCCTTTTTATCTTCAGCAGTATGGCCAAGGAGCTTGGAACAAGTTTCCCCTGGCAGGGAAAAAGTCTGGAATTTGTTAACTTCATAAGTCAAGTGAATCTCACAGATATCTACAGAACATTTTACCTAAACACTAAAGAATACACATTCTTTTCAGCAACCCATCTACTTTCTCCAAAATTTAACACGTTTTAGGACATAAAACAAATCCCAACACACGCAGGAAAATTGAAATAATAATATGCATTCTGTCTGACCACGCTGAAATAAAACTAGGTACTAACAGCAATAGAAATGACAGAAACAACATGAACTCATAAAACCAAAAACACCCTCCTGATTGTTAACTATATTTTTATTGATTGTAGCCCTGATTTTGATTATATCTTCTCTCCTACTTTATGGGACATAAAACAAGTCCCAACACATGTAGGAAAATTAAAATAAAAACATGCATTCTGTCTGACCACGCTGAAATAAAACTAGGTATTAACAGCAATAGAAATGACAGAAACAACATGAACTCATAAAACCAAAAACACCCTCCTGATTGTTAACTATATTTGTGTCAAGGAATTGACACAATCTAGAAGGAATTTTTAAAAATTCCTAGAATTTAATGAAAATGAAAACTTAACATACCAAAATATATGAGATACAACAACTTCCACAAAGCCTGAGAAAATTCAAAGAATCATGAAGACATATTTTAAAAATCTGTTTTCAACAAATAGGGAAATGTAAAAGAAATGCACACATACAAACACACATATGTATATAATATATATCTATGTATATGATATGTGTCATATAGACATTATATATATATCTATGTGTGTAATATCCTACCAAGCTAAATAAAGATAAAATAAATTATTTAAATATACCTATAGTATTCAATATGATACAAATGGTAATTAAAAAATTCTCAACTGAAAAATTCAAGGGTCAGATGGATTTCATACATAATTCCATCAAAACTAGGGAAAGAACTTACACTGATACTTCTCAAACTATTTCATAAAATAAAAAAATGAAGGAACACTTCTACATTCTTTTTACAAAGCCAGTACCACACTGATACAAAAATTTGACAAAGATTCACTTAAAGTGGGAAATTAAAAGTCAGTCTAGCTGCTGAACATAGATATAAGCCTCTCAGTATAATACTTGCAAACTCAATTGAAAAACACAGCAATAAGGTTATCTATAATGATCACTTGGTTTCATCCGAGATGCAGGGATTTCTCTATATTCATAAATCTTAAATGTATTTGACCACAATTAACCCACAGCCAATATCTTTTTAAATGAGAAAAAGTTCAAAGCATTTTCATTAAAATCAGGAAAAAATAAGGATGTCCACTCTACCCCTATGCCTGTTCTATATAATATTTGAAGTCTTAGCTAGATCAATAAGATTAATGAAGGCATAAAGGGGATACAAGTAGTAAAGAAAGAAGTCATAATATCCTTATTTTTGCATATGGATTTCAACATAGAGACTCCAGAAGAAAACCATGGTTTATAAATACATTCAGGAAAGTAGTAGAATGCAAAAATTATGATGCAATATTTGATATTTTTCTATATATAAATAACAACCATATTGAGAGTGAAATAAGGAAACAATATCTTTGAATATTCAGATATATGGGTTTCTTTGGAATACGTATAGAGGTCATGTGAGAGAAGCTTTCAGGAGTGGGTAGATAGACTACAGTGGTGAAAAGGATCAAAAGAGAATAATAGAACAGGAAGAGTTAGATCAGGAGGGGGCCAAGGTAGAAGAGGAAAGACTGAGAGGGATAAATAGCATAAAATACCTTTCAAAAAAGTCATATAGAAACCCATTGCTGTAGAAACTTCCTAAATACATGCATATAGGAAAAAAGTTTACATGTAGTTATCCTAGAATAAGGCAATCAAATCTCTACTAGGCAACATAGGCTGAAAGTAGCCATTACCAAAAACTGCAAAGAAATACCATTTTTTGAGCTATTGGAAAGTAAGGTCTCATCAACCAAACATTACAAGCCATTGCTAATATTCTTGGTTACCTTATAGAACTTGATAGCAAAACTCAGTTGCTAAAGACACCACATGCTTGAGTCACAGAACATGCAGAAATCAAGCTGTTACTGATCCATAAGCTTCATCCATTCTGGTTTGCTTACATGAGTCTGAATGCTGCTCTGCATGCTACTGGAAAAGAAAAGAAATCATCAATTTTATCCAGCTCTGCATTTTTAGTAATATATAACTAGCCTGGCAAGACACACTGAAAGGAAAGAAGGAAAGAAGGAAGGAAGGAAGGAAGGAAGGAAGGAAGGAAGGAAAGAAAGAAAGAAAGAAAGAAAGAAAGAAAGAAAGAAAGAAAGAAAGAAAGAAAGAAAACTTTCTTGTGTCCTAGTTTGTGTTCTATTCCTGTGATAAGCATCATGACCCAAAGCAACTTGGAAGAAAATGTTTTATTTTACTTACATGGCCAGATTACAGTCTATCACTGAGGGCAGGAACTCAAGGCAGAAACCTGGAGTCAAGACCTGAAGGAGAAACCAAGGGATGGATGCTGGTTACTGGCTTGCTTCCAAGCTCACATTTATCTGTTGGTTTTTTTTTATGTCTTACTTCCCCACACTACCTCCCCAAGGGTAGCTAGGCCCTCCCACACCAACATTATACAAGAATATTCATTCCCCTTAACCTAGCCTACAGGCCCACCTTGACAAAAGTATTTTCTCAGTTGAGGTTCCCTTTTCCAGATATCTCTAACTTGCACCCAGTTTCTGCCTTAGTTTTTTTTATTTAAATTACTAAGTTATTTTATTAACACAAACAAACAAAAACCCAACCACTGTAATGTGAAGGTTGCCTTAGAACATTTGCCAAGGAAGAGATGTCTTGCCTGAGAGCTCCCTGCATAAGACATCCATACATAGTGGTTAGGGTCTTTGAACTGTCATTCAAGAGGCAGAATGGCTGTTCCCTATAATTTTGTTTATTCATAGGATTAATTAATTAATTAATTAATTGATTAAAGGATATTTATGAAAAGAAGACTCGGGAAATTAAAACCTGCAACAGTATTTACCATTGCTTAAATACCATCTACTTGCCATTTAAGGAGAGTTTTGTTCCTTATTTGATTCAACCTATCAAACTTAAAGCCACATGCTTAATAAATTTCAAATACTATATATTTAATACTCTTTCCGTGCAAAGTGATAGATCCCTTAGGTCTGCTGTTTGTTAGTGTCTTTAGCTACTCAAGCCTTTGTTCAATCCTTCTATTACCTATGTTCTAGACTCAAGTACGCATGTGAACTTCAAAAATATTGAGGTAAACACATGTGGTTTTCTGATCAAGAATTATCACCAATCATCACTCCTATGTCATATAATGAATAAAATATCAACTTATATCAAGTATTTTTATCTACTTGATTGAAATTAAACAGCAACAATGATTCACCAGATTTAGGTGCCAAAAATAGAGAGACTCTCTATGCCTGTGGCACTTACTCCAGAAGGAAATTGAAACACAGCTTTCTGCACTTCTACCTTGACTGGATCTCTCATCCACTTTACTTTGGCTAAATAAGCTACTTAGATAAAAAGAATCACAAAAACTAATATAAATATATTTGCATTGTTATTTAGGGTATTTGCTAGAGCGGTCACCAGAGTAGACCAGTCCAGGCACCCTCTGGACCACTGCCAGCAGTCCAAGGTGGATTGTTATTAAAATGAAGTACATCTATTTAGTGATAAGGAAACACTAGAAAGAACTGATCTACTGAATTTTGTTTTTGGTTAGAATATGACATTGATAGTCCAATCTTTTCTTTTGGTGCCATATAACATGTATCTTCTTTTCTTTGTAATAGGAACAACTGCACTTTATTTATTTCTTCTTATGCACCCTTCCATCATCAGCAATCTCCCTAGCCCAAAAACCTTTGAAGAAGTTCAATTTTTTAATGGCAACAACTATCACAAGGGAATTGAGTGGTAAGAATAACAACAAAAAGTGAACTCCAATATTAACACATGCTCCATCATTGCAGAGCAATTACAGATGTGTGCATGGCATCTGCATAATTACAGAATAAATTTGTTATGCTCAATTATACCACAGTGAATTAGAAATTAATTTATAATGATGATATGTTTAATCAGTGTTGCTTATAATTTGATTTGGACAGTGCAATAATGATAATATTTTTCTGGTAAGTTAATATGATTGAATAACGAACATTGCAGGGTATTTTTCATCAGAATTATTCATAAGAATATTTAAAATTCTCTTCAAGCATACTCTTATTTTACAGTTTCTCCATTTATTTTATTAAACGCATAATTTGTCTTCACAGTGATGCCTGAGGTTGCTTTTATTTTGTACTCTGGGACATGTGTCTTCATTAACCACATGAGCAGTGTATGTTGTATTGCAATGTAGGCAATATTTGTCATGCAAACTATAATAGAGCTTTTCCTAAACCATATCAATTCCACTCACACACACACAAGAAACATTAATTAGCACTTGATAAACGATGGAAAACATTTAAAATAACAATACTTTCCATAAGCTGAAACAGAATAAACTTAATATTGGAGATAGTATTCAGTCTGGTGAATTTTTCTGGCTGTATCCTAACTTTCCAAGAAATTATGATCTTATATTTGATTTCCCTGGATTTACATTCCCAAGGAATATAAGGCAAATCTCATATGAGGAAAATTCCTTTTGATGCACAATTTGTAGCATTTAATTTTGTGTGTCACCATAACACATGAACCTTCTAGAAATAAGACCCATCAAGGGCAATGCCATTGGGCAGATCTCACTCCTCATCCTGAGTGAAACTGTGTTCACTCTGCATCTGAGATGTTGCTACCCTATCTCTCTTCTACATTTTGGAATTACACGCAAATTATTAAAGAAAGAAAAGCAATTTTCTCTTATCTCTGAGCTCAAATGGAACACGAATTTTTAAGCAAGAATACAGATGAGATTCTTCAGTACTCTTCATTTGGGAAACATAATAACAAATGTCAAAGAGGAAAATAAGTGCCTTCTATGAATTCTTAATTGCTCTCATTATTTTTTTCTAGAACATTTGAGGGTGAGAGAAGTGATGAGCTGTAAAGAGGGTTACACACATAATTAAAGCCTTGTACTGAATTAGCCTCAGAACATATTGATTCCATAATCTACACAGAGAGGAATGTTCTGACAGCATATGGAGGAGTGAACCTATGGAGGCATTGCAGGATCGACTGACAGAAAATAGCCTCTTAATTGCTCTAGATAAATTATCATGTGCTGATATTACTGCATATATTAGCAAATTTTATAAAAGTTAAAAAGGAGAACAGCTATGCTTTAATCTGTTTAATTTTTTTATAGCTGTTTTGACTTACATGTCTTTCTGTCTTGTGAACTTTAATCTCATCTTACGAATCTTAGCATTCAAATTTGCAAACACACATTTACTATTTAAAGTTTCATTCAAGCAAGATTGTACAATATTGTATTTTTCAGGCATAATCTGTAATTTTAGGTTTGATTTGTGACAGCAGAGAGTATCAGCTCAAATTCACCATATTATCCCATCATTCATTTTCAACTCTTTATCTTGCTCTTTCCTTTGCCTTAAATAAGTTGTAAGTACATAACATTCTGGGTTGCTTTCACATTAGAAGTACACAGCATGATGACTATTTGGATGATTCTATAACACACTAATTTGAACTTGATGCAAACAAATGTAAGACCTGTTCAAATTTCTCCTGTTCGGAGAATGGCAGAATGAAAAATATTGCCCTTATTAAATAATTATCTTTTCTTACCTGCAGGTATATGGACTTTTTTCCTACTCCTTCCAACATTACCAGTGATTTCCTTTTTGAAAAGAGTGCTAACTATTTCCACTCAGAAGAGGCTCCCAAGAGAGCTGCATCTCTTGTTCCCAAAGCCAAGATCATTACTATCCTTATCGACCCCTCGGACAGGGCATATTCTTGGTACCAGGTATGAATGCAGAAAAGTAGTGCTGAGTACATTCAGGCATAGCTTGTTTTAATCATAAAATAAAACCTAGATATACTAAAGAGTCAAGTGCAAAAAATCCTAGGTCAAAAATCAGACTGTCTGTTTGTCTATCTGTCTATCTGTCTTGTTTGTCTATCTATCTCTCCATTCATCTATGCATTTTTTTCATTTAAATATTTAACTCACGCAGAATTGTTGAATGGATTTTAAATAGTAAAATGACAGAAAAAAGTAATAAACAGTTGTGTGGTGGTGGGACACACCTTTAATGCCAGCGCTTGGGAGGCAAAAGCAGGTGGATCTATGTGAGTTCAAAGCCAGTCTAGTATGTAGAGCTAGTTACAGGACAGCCAGAGCTAACAAAGAAACTCTTTCTTGAAAAACAAACCAACAAAAATAGTAATCAATAAAAGAATTGACATATTTCCAAAATCATGCAAACATGTAAAATTTTGGCCCGTCAAATTGTCTTTAAATTAAAAGTCAGCATCTAAGGAGTACATCTTTAACAGTACAAGGAAAATTACTTTGTGCTTTCATTTGCGTATGACCTCCAACTTGTCAAAAGAATAAATGCTAGTATCAGTAAACAAGTGAGCAAAGGAAACATACTACTATACATCAAGTATAACCACTCAATAGTTTATATGAAAATGGCCAACTTGGAGGTCAATAAAATATAAATTAAAATGGAATGCTTTTTTAGGAAAGTAACAAGTCTGTGTTATATTTGTTTGCTGGCAAGATGTGATGATAAAGGTCTCAAACATTTCACTAAAAATATATTTAGATATTTTCTGAAAACAATGGATAATAACATAATAGGCATGTTAAAATCCTTTCTTCTGTGATTACTGACTTTGGAACTGATCATAAGGAAAATTTCAAATGGATGGACAAATGTTTAGGTACATTGAAGCCCTATCTATCAAATAATAGCAGAAGATAAAGCAAATGTGCAGAATCATAGATTTAAATATTGTGATGCTATATTTCATTATCATTTTAGTTAATAAAATGTCAATGAACTGTTTTTATCCTAGTTTTATACATAATAATTCACAATTAGCATTTGTTTGTTAGGGTGCTTTGAGAAATTCTGTAAAGGTATGCTGAGAACACTCTCTATAGTCCAAATGAACTTTGGACTTAAAACTAAAGGACATGTAGGCATCAAGTGTTTGAAGGCGAGGATAACAACAGAGGAGTAATGTTATAAATGAAATCCTCTGGTTATAAAAGCTCATACCCCATTTAAAGAGTCGATGGTAATGCCATTGTGGCCCCAAGGAAAACCCAGATGGATACTTCAAAAGTTGAGTCTGAAATCCATAGGGACTGTCATCTGAGCACCTGACAACGACCACTACCATATTTTTTTTTAGAAAACATCATTAAATCTGCTACTTAAAGTATAGATTAGGGTAGTTCAAAGGACCATTCAGAGATGTCAAACTCGAAGCTATTGTAATAGCCTTACTAAGAAATCAAGACTAGATAAAGCAAGTGTGTCTAAAGCAAGTAGACACAAAAGGGGATATAAAGTAGTATGCACCTAGGGGTGAAAACAGCAGAGCTTGATGAAGACAGTTCAAGAATAAGTAAAGTTTCCTTCACATTGGGCAACTGGATGATGAACCTACATTTCCATGCAACAAGTGCAGGAGAAGGAAACAGGAGGTTGTGGGTGCTAGAAAGCAGGTGATGGTGAGAGTAGAATGCTAGAGTTAGGGAAATGATCATAATGTGTAGACCCCTATGATAATATGTATAATGGAGTCAGTCATGTGAAACTCTGGGGGAAAATCTGAGCTAGAGACAGGAATTTATGAATCAGAGGCATGAAGCCTGTGAAACAGAAATAGTGAAATCACCTCAGACAAAGTTCAGAGAAGAAAAATACTCAGAAAGATGAATTGCAGGAATCATGGTGAACACAATGACTCCAAGTACAAGGGAAGGCAATGGTGTCAGATAGAGGTTGGAACTACAGTGCCAGGGTTACTAAGAAATTCGACAAATTCACAAGCTAGGCCTGAATCACTTTAACTGAACTAAATGATGTGGCAGGAAATGTGGTCCTTAGCAATAGAGTTAAAAGAAAAAAAAAAAAAAACAGGCAGTTTTGGTCCACACACAAATGGGGAAGAAGGAGTCATGGCAGCCACTGTAAAAGACTCACAAGTGTGACTCTGAAGGAAAAAAGTAAAACATCACAGGAGTAGCAATAGGCTTAGAGAAAACATGTGTGGTCACATGAATCTAAAGAGAAGATTAAAGACACAGTAGAAAAACAAATGGATAATCAATTCTGTAATTGATTATAAACTCAAGATGAGGCATTTGTGATAAATTGTTTAATAAATAGAAATGTATTTTCAAAGCATAAAACTGAATAATATAATTAGAAAGAAAACACAAGGAATACTGTGAAATGTCATCCTTTGGACATGACATAATTATTGTGTGCAGGAAGTCACATTAGATGTGGCTACCTGCATAAGACCTGAACAGATCAAGGCACTGAAAATTTCAGCACAGATTGGGGAAGGGCTCTCAAAGCTCCTTCCCTAGCTGAGAAGCTATTGATAATTTATGATTGCTAGGAAAGGGAGAGTCACTTTTCTTTAGGAATATGGCCACCCATAAGTTGGCTATGCTCCAATGGATGACTCTAGCACTCATGTGCACATGGGCAGCACTAACTGGACTCAGTGGATCAAAAACAAATAAATACATACAAAAGAAGACATAAAATTGATGTCAAAGTAAAATGTAAGTTGGGAAGTAAGACATGGAAAAGAGCAAGATACATGTGTAATATTTTGAAAGAATAAAGAAATATTTTAACTAAAACTATAGGAATATTAAAATAATTGTATATAAGCATTAATACACTTTGATTTTTATAAAACAAGAAAAAGTGAACTGCTTAGAAACAATCAAAATTGAATAGAAATCAGCAAAGAGCTATTTTACAAAGGATTTTCTTTTTTAAAATTCTACAGGGATCTCATAGTGAAAAGTAGTTTATTGACTATCAGTTACATTATTTATATTTCACTGACAGAACAAATAAATATAAATTGATGGTAAAAAAAGTAAATGAGAAGTTATAAGGCAAAGCATGACAAATTCATTTCTTTTAAATACTACCAATAATTTATATACAGCTGTATCTTAGTGAGGATTACCATTGCTATGATGAAACACCATGACCAAAAGCAATTTAGAGAGGAAAGAGTTGATTTGGCTTATGCTTCCATAGCACTGTTCATCATTGAAGAAAATCAGGTCAAGAAATCAAATGGGGTGAAACCTCATGCACAGGCCATAGGGGAGTGCTGTACACTGGCTTTCTCCGTCTGCTTCCTAATAGAACCTAGGACTACAGTCCACAGATTGTATCACCCACAATGGCCTGAGCTCCACTCCATCAATCATTAACTAAAAAAAAAAAGGCCCTATATCCAGAACTTATAGAGATATTTTCTTAATTGAAGTTTCTGCCTTTCAGATGACTCTAGCCTGTGTAAAGTTGACATAAAACTAGCCAGCATGTAATGGATAACATGTAGAAGAGTAAACAAAAAAAGCTAAATGTTAGAGGAGGTAGAAAGACCAAATGCAGGCAACGAATGTGAGTTATGAAAGAGGATAAAAAGATAATTGCTTTTCTATTTCTAACTCTGTCATGGATTTTTCAGTTTTGGTGGTGGACAAGTACATAAAATGTACTCTATACTGAAAGCGTGAAATCCAATATGAAGTCCTACAGCTTCGGAATCCCTATTCTAACTGTATAGAAGTTTATTAAGATGTATAGACTTTGCGTCTGGTGAATTTGGGTGCGTGAAATTTTTTATTTGCAAGGCTTTTATAATAAAGTTAATTTAAAAACTATCAAAACACTGAGATGTAAACTTTAATTAAAAGCTTTAAAATCAAATATTGTGAGAATGCTGAATGTGTAATCTATTCAGGGTAGACTAAAATTAATGTTTTATATAGATTAAATCACTTGAATGAAATAGAATGTACATAATACAGTGCTTACCTATGACTACTTTCCAAATAAATTCTTTGAATACACAGGTTTAAGGGAATTATTTTTTTCTGATAATACTTTTTATTGCCTGTATTGCTGAAGCTAGGGCCCCAAAGTGCTCCACATTTCAAAATAATTTAGCCTATTACTTAGCTAGACCTGTCCTTTCAGTAAGGGCCATAAATCTGCTGCTCAGCAGGTGTGAGTCAGAAACCAGTACAAATGTCACCTGCCACTGTAATTTCTACCTCACATTTCTATAATGGACCTCACAGAGGAACTAAAGTGCTGTTTTTCCATAAAATATGTTCCTTTGTGACTTTCTGGTCGTATTTTTATGCTAATCTTAGTTGCAGGGATATAAAGAAAATTTGATGCTAAACTTACGTAAGTCAATAAGAGCCCATTGAGCACACTCTTGTCACTGATGATAACAGAAGTTTCAGCCCTGCTGTTCTCTACTAATGCGCATGCCCTGCATGTTTACAGTTATTTTTCCAATTAGGGAACCTCTACATGTTTTGTTGTTTAGGCTGGTTATGTAATCTGCATGCTTTCAGCATGATGAATAAAACAGAATATTAGTTTCACCTGTCAGGCAGCTACTTTCCACTCTTGGTCTTTGACCGCCCGCCCCCCAAACTATTTTTCCCTTTCTAGAATAATTTACATGTAGAATTTACTTATAAAATAAAAACCAGCTCTGCCGGACATAGCAGGCCCTATACATTACCATGCTTTTTCTAGGGTAGATTTTCCTCCATATTCACTTTAGATATTATGAAACACCAGTTCATTTATATGCATACACCTTATACACCTTAACACAGACTTACCTTGCCTTTTCCACTTCTATTTCCCTTGCTTGTTTGCTTATCCTCTAATCATTGAAATTTTTGTCTCAAAAAACATTTGGCTCAAAAGCTTCACCCATTATTAAAGTTTTCTCATTGGACAGCCTGGCTGTCACCATTAAGATACATTTTTTTTTTTCCGAGACAGGGTTTCTCTGTGTAGCTTTGCGCCTTTCCTGGAACTCACTTGGTAGTCCAGGCTGACCTCGAACTCACAGAGATTCTCCTGGCTCTGCCTCCCAAGTGCTGGGATTAAAGGCATGGGCCACCACCGCCCGGCTTAAGATACTTCTTATACATCATTCAAATATATGGCTTTGGTATTATCTATTGCTCTACTGTCTCTCATGCTAGGTTTCATTTCTTTAAAGACAACAATTATGTTTCACATCTTTTTATATTCAGAATTTACCACTATTTTTTGTTTTTCTTCTAGAGACGAGACTAATACATTTTCAAACATCTTCATTAAGTCTGACTCTCATTTAGTTGGACTCTGTTATTTTTCCAAATGGTGGTTTTGTGTGAATGACTGTTAGGTTTTGATACTGAAAAGCAGGAGTGAAATAGTGTTTGGCGGAGACCCATAGAGAGCAAAAGCACTTTGAACATCCTCAACTTGAATAGGACATCCCTAAGCAATGATTAGCAATCAGAGTCTGAGGTGTCCACAGGCATAGGATCTGCCACACAAAGAAACCATCAGAAGGAACTGGGAAGATGCAATAGGCCAAGCAACATGTGAGACCACTCATGTCCATCTAAATTGCAGCTTATCAAGCTTAATTTTTGTCTCTAATATATTTTCATTTCTAATCAGACCCTTGTAGAAAACCTTTTCATTCTGTCCCTGTCTTTTGCCTACATGTTTTAAAAGCAAAACAACCCAAATATATCTGCATATCACTTGAGATTTAGTTTAAATCTGCTCTTTAAAATAAGCAGTGTGCCAAATGCACAGGTCCACATGCACACAACATTATGCAAACATTTAAAAAAACACTTCACTTTTCCTTTAAAGCACCAGAGATCCCACGAAGATCCAGCTGCCCTGAGGTTCAATTTCTATGAAGTCATCACAACAGGACATTGGGCCCCACCTGATTTGAAAACATTGCAGAGGAGATGTCTGGTACCTGGGTGGTATGCAGTACACATAGAAAGATGGCTGACCTACTTTGCTACTTCTCAGGTAATGGTATGAAATTAGGTTTCATTTACATCACGATTGCATTGCACTGACACACAGAAAATGGAATGAGCTTCACCACAGGTAACAGTTTTCAATAGAGACAATAAGAACTGTGGATTTTTACATATTTTTTATTTTACTAATACCATTCAATGTAGTCAGATGGCTATGAAGCATGTATGTAGGAGACACCATCACGAGTAATTGGTTTCAAGGAATACATTGTCCCAAAGGAAACATCATATAATTCAAAACTGAAACTCTTCAGCAACTAGTAGAGAAGCCAGTTAGCCAGAGACTTTGTAAAAGTACCTACATGCGCGATCCCAGCACTTGGGAGGCAGAGCCAGGTGGATCTCTGTGAGTTCAAGGCCAGCCTGGTCTACAGAGCGAGATCCAGGACAGGCACCAAAACAACACAGAGAAACCCTGTCTTAAAAACAAACAAACAAACCAAAGTATCCACATGGATTCCTACTTTTTCTCTGTCATGTGAGAACCTTATTGGGAAAGAAGAGGTTCTCATACTAGATGACTATAAAGAGAAGGGCCTTAGCAGACCACAATACGATTTGAGAAAAACATCCTCCATGTTCTTCATTTAAGCCCGTAGTGCAATTTAAGCTCCAAGGAGACTTTGGTATTAATACTCTTTTTAAACATCCCCTTGAGCAAGTCTCATATTCTCCAGTAAGGACCCAAGGTGAGAAAGTCAGAGACAAACATTTTCTTCTCATTCTCAGTCATGGTTTGTAAGAACGGACGGGATACTTTCACCTGTGTGGTCACTCTTGAGCCATTGGCCTCAAGGTTAGTGATGACATTTAGTAGGCTGGATGGTTAGTTGGTAATATAATCTAGAGACGGGAAACCCCTGTGTATATTACAATTCCAAAGCAACAAACGTTTGCATCGACTTCTGCTTAAGAATAAACTGAGTTCATAATTCACCAACACAAAAACCATTTCTAAGGAAAACTTTAAGTATTATTAGTTAGGTAAGAAACAAAAGAGCAACATTCAAATGTGTGCTATGTGATGTATGTTTTCTTCTCATTCAAAGTGACCTGACTCATTAATGCCATACCAGGTCAAGAGGGGCAGCTTGGTAGATTTAATTCCATTTTGTTCCTCATACACGACTATTTTTGGCTTTGCAGTTGCTAATTATTGATGGACAGCAGCTGAGATCTGACCCAGCCACTGTGATGGATGAAGTCCAGAAGTTTCTAGGAGTTACACCTCATTATAATTACTCTGAAGCACTAACGTGAGTCTATTCTCATGCTTGATTTCACTTCCATTATTTGCCATCGTAAATTATCACTGGTCTGTGTGTATATAGCATCATTAATACTAGCTATGAATTTATACATCATTCTGCTACTCAGACACAAAGAAATATTCTCATTACTCATCAGATGTCTCCTTTTGAATAACAGGCATACTTTACATTATAAAGTATAATATGTACTTTATATTATGATAAATCTTGCTTTTGAGCCTTTCTCCAATGTAAATTTGTTTAGGCATTTTATATGTCTGACACTTTGTGTACAGTGTCCTAAAATCTGAAGTTACAAAGGCGAAAATGACTTGTCCTCTCAGAGCAAGTTATAAGTGAAACATGGGCTTGCAATGGTGGCACACACCTTTAATCCCAGTATAGGCAGGTGGACCTCTGAGTTTGAGGCCATCCTGGTCTACAGAGCAAGTTCTATGACAGCCAGGGCTACATGAAGAAACCTTGTCTTGAAAATAATAGAAGAGAACAGAAGTGAAACATGGGAAGTCATCATTCCCTTTGAGACAGTGAACAATATTTAGGACAGATTTGGAGAAGTGCTTTTGTGTTTGTTTGTGTGGTGCTATTCCTGGGGATATATGAATAAATGTCTACTTACCCCAGAGAGGAAACTGACAACAGACAAAATTGCAGATACACTGAAATCCACTTTGGTGAACCAATGAGTTTTATTGTGGTTAATAGAGGAGCAGAAATAGCTCAAAGACAACTGTTATCTCTAAACTTCTGTCCCAGCACAGACAAAAGCTGTAAACTTGGAGTATAATCCACAGCCTACAGGCAGCTCCATAGGTTGGAGGTGGCCATTTCTGGTGCTTCAGTTGGCCTGAGGCTTTTCCAGGCAGCTCAGTTGGTCTTTGTTTCTTTTATGCAGTTTGACTGGTTGGTACCTGTTTGTTCCTGGCTGCTTCTCTAGTCTCTGCTTCTGCCAGGCTGCTTGCCCTGAGTCTTCAAGCTCCTAAACTCCTCAGACAGTCACTGTCAGAAGTTTTTATTGTTTATATTTTACTGTTTATATTTATTGTTTATATTTTATTGTTTGTATTTATTGTTCAGTTTCAGGGACTTCCTGCAGCTATTTTGAGTTGTTTATTTCATGTCTTATGGAACTTCCTTGAAGGATGGAATGTTTCACTTCCCTTTAGAACATCCTGTTGTTTCACCTCCTTGTAAACATCCTGTCCTAAAGTATTCCTTAGTTTCATCTCACTTTTCCTATCCCATGTCTTAAGAAGTTTGCCTTCAAGTTTGAAAGTTCTAGCCTCAGAGGAAACCATTACAGAACAATGTTTTATTCTGCATTTATTAAAATGTTTATAGCCAAATGGAATCATGTAGTAATCTATTGTTGCATCATGAACCATTACTAAACTTTGTACACATGATTGCAGCCCTTTTGCCATGATCATGGGTTTTGCAGGTCAGTGATTAGAAAGGATTGCACTGAGAATTGTTTGCTTTCTACCCATTGATATGTAAGATTACTGTAGTTGGAAGTTTTCCTGTGTCCACAGCTGCTCAGCTTTAGTAAACACACAGAGGCTTATGTTAATTAAAACTGCTTGGCCATTAGCTCAGGTGTCCTACTGACTAGCTCTTACACTTAAACTCAGCCCATTTCTGTTAATCTGAATGCCACCACGTGTTCTGTGTCTCTACCTCTGTGCAATTACATGCTGCTCCCTGGATTGTGGACTGGCATCTCCTGACTCAGCCTTCCTCTTCCCAGAGTTCTCTTTGTCTGCTTATCCCACCTATACTTCCTGCCTGGCTACTGGCCAATCAGCATTTTATTCATCACCCAATCAGAGCAACACATATTCACAACATACAGACTGACATCCCACAGCAGATCACCACTGGGAAGACCTGAGTATCTGTTTATGACTCAAATGTCGAAGGACTGAAATTATCTGGAGGCTTCTTCATTTACATCTTTGGCTACTGAGTAAAAGACTGAATTCAGCAGCATGAAGTTTCTTTATATAGCTTCTCTTTGCCCTTGGCCTTTTCTCAATGAACTAGTTGCATTCTAAAAAAGAATGTAAAGCAGAAGAACCATGTGATCTAATATCACCATGGCTGCTGTGACCTAGGCTTGACAGCCACAAAATTTGCTTCATGCTTTGTTCTGTTGGTCACAACAGTCAGTAAATCAAGTCCAAATTCAAGGGATGGAGATGAAACCCATCTCTTGGCAGGGAGGGACATAGTATGTGACAAAAGGGCATGTGGAATAGCATTTACGATGCCCTCATCTTAGGGTGACAAAACTATCTATTCAAGTAAATTTAAAATGGGGTAAGCAAGTTAACAAAAAGAAGTACTCCGAACAGCTGAAACACACTTTAAAAGGGCATGTACTTTACTCATAAAGGACTCCCCCAAGCTCTGATATAAAGCCTATTAAATTTTAGGCGAAATTCTAACAAGCCTGATTATATAATTTCCCAGTTCACAGAAGATTAGACTCAGCAATTAGACAATTAGAGAGGGTAATGGAGGGACAGGAAAAGCAGTAATGAGATTGGGTTTTTCCTTATCCACTAAAACAATCCTAATGAAGTTCTTACCTACACATGGAAATAGCAGCCGCACAAGGCATGCCCCTGTTGATGGAGTAGACAAAGCTTCCCATAATGTGTTTTGCAATAATAGTTATTGATGTTGGCATATCTTGCCCTTCTCAGCAGTAGCCTAGGAAATGGTTCTGTCCTTTTTACTGCAAATAGTTGCTTATGTCTCGATAAACCTGTAAAGTCATACTTTTGAAGGAGAGTTTATAAACAAGCACAAAATATATGGATTTTAATATATTTCACATATCACAAAATTTAACTACCATAGTGATGCTTGGCATAATAAATGAAGTCAAATGTCAGCCAACTCAAGCCCTAAGAGTTGTTTAACAATTATGTGAAAAAGCTTTGACTCTTATGTTCACAATTTCATGCTTGTTAAAATAAAGCCATGAAACAATGAATTGATATAACCTAGAGAAGATCTGTCTGTTAGACTTAGTGTCAACGAAGTTAGCTATGCAGTAAATGGAACAGGACCCCAAACAGTCAGGGGCACAAAACTGTATGTTTGAAAATGACCTTCAGTATTCAGGATGGCTCATTCCCAAGTCTGAACAAAGTTTTGACTTACAACATCTGCTGTGCAGAACAAGAAAAACCCGAAGCTTACTCTAAGACCCCACACTACCAGAAAGGAGAGATGATGTCAGCATGGGTCCAGACACCTCAGCTTTGTTATCAGTGTTGTAGTTTGCCTTAACACAGTTAAATATTCTCATCCTGAGGCAGAAAGTGCTGTTTAGGGCCATCGTGCTACCAATGTCCCCATCTCATTTTGCTCAGCAAGCCGAATTGTTTTTCCTCTTGGGAAATTAATGAAAGCTAGAAGAAGGCCCGTGATATACAAGGAGCAGATTGGAAAGTTCAGGTTGGAAATGACTCTGTCTTCTTTTATCCATTTGACTACTGATGTATCTGATTTTAATTGGTAACATGTACAAGTACAACCTAGACAGCATGGATCAGGTCACTCTAGCAATAGGTCAGGAAGGAAACTAAAGAAAATTTCCCTCACGCCATAAAAGAGAGCACATAAGTGCAGAGGCAAGTTTCAGGTGCAATGGTGTTATAGGAATAGGCCCAGGGCAACAAAATATTCTGCAACTAATTAACTTTACATCCCAGTCAATTATGCTTCATCTTTCTAAAACATCTGCTGAGCAACAAAACTGCAAACCTTTTCCATGTTTTATGCATGCAGCAAGTCCCATAGCGATAAATTTAAATTTCCCCTTCTTATTTGGTTCATTCTTTCATTTTTCCTATCTTGTTAGTGCTCATCAGAAATTCTCATACATTTGACTTTACGCAAAACAGCTAGGCTACACATCCTTTCTTTTGTAACTAAGTTGCAACCATAGAAATAAAATAGCATTAGAGTTTCTGTGAGTGTCTAGGGATCTGATTGGGTCAAAGCTACAGCACTGTTTCCCTTCCAGGCCCCAGCGTCAAGGACATTGTCTGCCAGCAGGGCTCTACCAAAGTCCAATTTATCTTCAGCTGGCTGTACCATAGGTGTCAAGATGTTTCATAGGGAGGTTGGCATGTGCCAGGGACTGCCTGTGAAGTCCATACTTCTCTCTTCCTTTCCTCGTCTTTTGCAAAACGGGATTGCTGCTTGGAAGCACTAGCGTGTGGCTGATCAGTCTTTGACTGGTCATGCAATTGCAGTGGGCATCTTCTTGTTCTTTGTTGACTTAGTGGGACTGATTGGAGCTGTAAAACACCATTAGTGTGTGTGTGTGTGTGTGTGTGTGTGTGTGTGTGTGTGTGTGTGTGTGTGTGTGTGTGTGTGTCTGCTTATAGTTATTGTTCAGTTCTCTGTCCCTTGTGCTTGGTTAGCTTTGAACTGGGAACAACAAATTCAGCACCTGTAATTTGGTTGAATCAACATACCAAGAGCAGGAAATGACCAGGGGAATATAAATTGTGAGTTCTGAAGTTTTAACTCCAAACGCTACCTGGCTGGCCGGTTGTGTTGATAGTGGGCACCAGCACTCCCCACATGCTTGAGAAACCGGGCAGCACACTGGAGAGGTTTCAGGCATGTTGGTGGCATCGGTTTCTCCTTCAGGTTGGCCCAAGTCTTTGATGTTTGACTAACCTACCAAGAGTCAGAAAGAGCCTCTCATTAACAGCAAGTGGGCTGTTCCTTTGCTGATTATGACCTTGTTCACTTTCCTTGGTTTTAATTAAGTTAATTTTCCTGTTTAACAAAGAAAACAATGTCTGAAAAATTACACTAGCAACAGTGGAATTGTATCCTCTACCCTTCTTGAAATGGTTGGTTTTCATCAATGAAAACATTTTGTAACCCATGGCATCCTCTGAGCCTTGATGGTACCCGTGATCTACCACACTCAGTTTCAGCACTGTCAACCGTGGCCTCTCAGCACTTTGGCCCTAAAAAACAAAACTTTGTGTCACTACAGTGTCAATCACATGGTGGATCTCCATCAATACCTGGCAGCAATTTTTTATATCATACTGTTTTCTATGCAGAGTTTCTACTAGAAATTCCTGAGGATTATGAAGACCATAAAGCTATGGCATCTAATATGTTAAAAGGTCATTATGGAAGATCCCAAATTTTTTTGTCTTTTTAGGAAAGTTATAGTATGGTGAGAATATGAATAGACAACTTAATAGACTTTAATAATCACAGCAATATATTCTTTAGGAAATGGTGGTTTAATGTTTGAATTCTATAAGTACAAAGAAGTGGTATCAGAAGCATGCCAGTGTCTGACTTGGGTATTCTGCCTTGGCATAAGATGAATTTCAGAGACTCAAGGTGCATTCCTCCATACCTTTGACATTCTCTCTTAAAGATTATTTCCAATGACTGTATTGTTGAACAGTTTGCTATTAGTGCAGCATGTTCCACCCAGAAATATATATTGATTTTCTTAAAAATAACTGGTTTTTTTTCATGAAATTTCTCACTATCACAGTGGCAAAATGTCAAGTCTGTACAGACTTGAATGTGGTATCCGCCCAATCTGAAGGTGAGATATTCTTCTGATAGTCTAACATGTGACAGCCAGAAGCGTTTAAGTACAGAAGTACAGCTATGAGATTCACCCAACAGGACTATCTGCCTTCAACAACAGGCAAGAAGGGGGCTCCATTCTACTGACCACCTGTGGTGCCCATGTCTCATATCTAAAGACATTGTAATGAGTTATATCTTTACACATTAAAAAAATTTTTTTAGAGACATAGGTATCCACTTAAATAAAGATATTTTTAATAGAAATAGAAAGAATATCCAAATTAACAAAATCAGAAACAAATAGAAATGTTTAAGTAGGACAAATTCATTCTTTCTAAGTACAATGTGATACTGTTTCAAACAATGTTTTAAAGCTTTTTTAACTATGAAAAAAACTCCAAGTTCATTTGAAGGAGTAAATGAAATACTATAAAAAGTAAATTAATAGTATTTTGTTACATTTTTATTCACTTTTTGAAAGTTAAAAAAACCTTAACTCTAGAATAGAATACAGTATATATATATATATATATATATATATATATATATATATATTCAAATTGGAAGGCTTAGTTATATTTATACCCAGAATAGTATACCTACATGAAATTCAGTCCCATTAATGAAACCCATTAAATGATTTCAGAGAAATCTTTAATATATTTTGACATGGAACTCACAGTCATAAATAAACAAAATATCCAAAGGCCCTTTACATGTAGGCTGTAGCTTTAATATTTAATCATTTACTTTGTTACAGATTCATAACTAAAATATGGAACACAACAATTTCAATATAAAATCGTACTGCAGGTCTATGTGCCTTTTCCCTTATAGTAGAACTACTTGAAAATATATAGTAAAATACAGCATTTTTAATATCTATCCTCATTTCTCAAATCAGCTGAACATCTGTAGAAAAGAATTAAAAAGCAACAAGCATAGAAAAGTGTAGCCCTTTCACCTGACTGGGAAGGTTCATTACTGAATATGATTTTCAATTATTGTATGTCTTGTATGTTTCAGGTTTGACCCCCAAAAAGGCTTCTGGTGTCAACTACTGGCAGGAGGAAAGACCAAATGCCTTGGGAAGAGCAAAGGCCGAAAATACCCACCCATGGATCCAGAGGTAGTATTTGCTTGGTTCGAACTTCTCTGACAAAAAGATATTGTTGTTTGAAAACTAAGAACAGAAATTGGCTTCTTTTTTTGCTGATCTTTCTTTGCAATCCGTAATTTTATATACTTGGAAGATGTTAGAGAGAGAAAAAAACTGATAAATGTCATTAGAAATTGTTTCCTGTTGGAATTCAACTCAAACATAATTATATACCGAAAAATAACACCTTTCCACATTGTAAGGTACTTAAAAATAAATTGTCTGGTAAACAATGGCATAAAAAAATACAAGTATTACTAACACGTGCTCAGCGCATCCTGTTCTAGTTTGCTTTCTGTTCCTGTGATAAGCACCTGGACTAAAAAGCAACTTTGAGGAGGACAGGGTTTATTTCCGCCTACAAGTTCAGGTCACAATCCAGCACCAAAAGAAGCCAAGGTAGAAACGTGGAGTCAGGAGTTGCAGCCGCGGTTATGGAGGAATGCTGTCTATTGGCTGGCTTCCCTTGA